TAACCAGACTGGGAAACGCTATAAAGATCATAGCCCGAAATCAAGATAATTTACGACTAATGGTTATGCAGAACCGATTAGCCCTTGACTATGTTTTAGCATCTGAAGGGGGTGCCTGCGCTGTAATAGGCCAAGAGTGTTGCACTTATGTAAATAGTACCTTTGAATTAGTAGAAAACCAAGTTAATAACGCGATGGTTCATGCTGCAAAAGCCGCTGAAGCAGCCTTCGTTCCCAAAGATTCTTCAGTAGATTGGTTTGCTTGGTTAGATCCTAGGGGATTATTCAAAGGTCTGCTTGGGAAAATAATGTCTGCTTTGTGTATAGTTTGAATTTTAGGGTTAAGTTTGTATGTGATTGTGCAGCTAGTTTTATGTTGCACAAAGTTGTGTGTTAAAAAGGCTGAACAAACTATCGCATCTATTTCCAAAGAAACGGTTACAAACATGGTGTTAGAACTAAGAAATAATGAAATAGAGCTAGAGAAACTATGGACAGACCTGTGCCAAATAGAAATAGAGTGATCCTCCTTCGGAAGGATCAAAGCAGGGAAATGAAGGGGAAAAACAAAATGGTTCCAGTCTGCCATGTTGTTTGTGAGCGAGTCATGTAGCCAGGTCATGACCTTGCTGTTACAGACTGGTTTAAACTAGTTTTTTTCTCCAGCAACAAGTTGAAGACATGTGCAGACTTGTCCTTCCCCATTTTGGATGGCACCTGCCCTGATCTGTATCACTGTGACTCCTTCTTGACAGTAATAGGACAGTAAAAGCCTGGGTGAGTTCTGTCACATTCATCAGTCAATCATCACACTCTTCTGGATTGCTGGGCCCATCCCTGGGACTTATTCTCATTTGACCAGTGCACACGTGTCCTGTTGGCTATTCAGTTGTGCCAATATTATCACTATTCCCTTCCTTCCTCCCACCCTTCACCATCTGGAATGACAGGGCACAGGGAGTGTCCCCGTGACCTTCACACCCCCATCCCATCTCTTTCCTGGACTTTACTGCTGGGGAGTTGAGTTGTGTCTGAGCATTGGGGAAGAGGAAATCCACCACTGGGGATCATGCAGACCCCCAAGGGTCAGGGCTGTCCTTGCTGGTGTCTGTGTGGGTGTCAGGGCTCCAGGCTGGGAGTGCTCACCGCACACAGGTGTTCCCTACCCAGCATGAGCACAGCTGACTGGGCTCTCTCCATTTTCACAGCAGGTGTCTGCTAGCTCAGGCAAGTTGGGTTCAGGGGCCTTGGCACTGGCCTGGGCCCAGAGACCCCTGACTGTGGGTCTGGGTGCAAATCTCCCTGAAGGGTTGAGTTCCAGGAAGCCCCTGTCTGGGCAAGGGAAAGATCCCCTCCCCAGAGGGATTGTCATCCCTGTTCCCAGGGTCCCCAGGACCTTTCTGGCAGCTGCTGCCCTGCACCAGGTGTTTTTTCAGAGGCTCAGGACTCCCTCTTCCCCAAACACCTGCTACAAGCACCTGGTCAGGGTGGAGGGTTGAGACAGGAGAGGGAGCTGGGGGAGCGGGGAAGGCCCTGGTTCCTGCTGTGGTGGTTTGTGGCTGTGGCTCAATGCCTTTTCCTGCAGGAGAGATGGGCCCTGCTCTGCTTGTGGGGTGCTGGGTGAGTGAAAGCTGCAGTCACGAGGCGCAGGCGCCTCACTCTGCCAGGACTGAGAAGGTTATTTAGGGTCTAATGTGCCCCTGTGACAAGTTTGGTGATTCCTAGCCTCTTCCTATGGCTTAGCAGGACCAGCTGGTTCTTGGGTATAGGCAGTAGCTGGCTGTGCTTTGGGAAAGGGGACCATTTCCTCCTGGGGGCAGGGTAGGGGTTTCTCCAGGCTTTGGTCCTTTGACTCTTGTTCTTACAGTCACTCTCCCTTCTCAGAGGAGCATTTGACACTGCTGTCTGTTTTGGACCTGCTTCCCCTTTTTGTGCAGCCTCTCTCCTACTCTGTGTCACTGTGCATCTGGCACAGTAATATGTGGCAGTGTCTGCAGCTGTCAAGGAACGCAACTCCAGGGAGAGCTGGTTCTTGGCAGTGTCCCTGGACATGGAGATTCGGCTCTGCAGAGCTGAGTTGTAGGTTGTGCCACCACCAAAGCTAATCTGCCCCATCCACTTCAGTCCTGCTGACTGAGACTGCAAGATCCACTCCCAGTATGTGCTGCTTGTAGTGATGGATTCTCCAGTGACAGCGCAGGTCAGGGTGAGGGTCTCTCCAGGCTTCAGCACCCCTGGGCCAGACTGGACCATCTGGATCTGAGACAGGACACCTGGGAACAGGGAAATGCTAAGAATGAAATCCATTGTTACTCATCCTTCATATTGGAGTGAGAGCCCCTGAAACTGCAGGCACAGAGACATCAACAGTCAGGACTGATTATAGAGACGGTCTCCCCAAGACACTGACCTGGGGTGAAGAGGGAAAGAAAGGAGAGGATCCGCAACAGTGATGCCATCACGGGATGAGAGAGAGAGAGCATCTCCCCAGCACCCCAGTGTCCTCCCTGTCAGCTGGTGAGGGAGCCTTGCAGGGGTCAGAAGTTAACCAGGGAGCTGGGCTGGGATTTGCATCGCTGCTGCACCTGGTGCTCTGAGCCCTGCCCAGGGCTTCCCAGGAGGCCTGTCCCTTCTGCCATGGCCCCACCCTCCTGCCTCCACCCTCCACTTTGCAAACAACCCCTTTCTCTCTCGCTTTGCTTCTCTCCTGTAGTCCCCGCCACCCCAGCCCTTGGGAATAGCGATCCCTCCAAACTCCCTGTCGCGGCGCACCTCGCTGCCCCGCTCCTAGAGAGGGGAAAACTGCCAGAGGAGAAGCTCTGGCAGTGCATAAGGAGCCCTAGTGGTGATTAGGGAGTACAGGTGGGGGTTGCTGGGGGCAACTAATGAGAATCAGCTGCCTGTAGGAGGCAGGGCCTGGCCCTTATAAAGCCCAGGGCTGAAGCCAGGCTAGCAGTTCCTTGCTAGTAGTCAGAAGCTTGTTCAGCCAGGATATAGGGAGAGCCCTGATTGCAAGTATAGCTTGCGAGAGCTCCAGAGGCTGGAGCAATGGTGTTGAAGTACAGCCAGGAGGCTTATGTTGTTAGGGCCCAGTGCCTTAGGTTTTGGTCATAGCCAGGAGGCTTATATTTGCTTTAGTGTTTGTATTACACCGGTGGTTTGGGGGAGGCTATAAGGGGTTGGAGGAGGCCTCATCAGGGACTCACAAGAGGGTGTGAGGACCCCGGTGCCAGTAAGGGTGCAACTTACGGGGTGCGTAGACCCCAGCCCCAGAGAGGGGCGTTTGGAGAAGCCCCAGCGCGGGCCCAACGAGCCCCAGGAGGGGGGCACTACTAGGAAGCCCGGGCGTGGCGAGCCCCAGGAAGGGGGAGCGCACTTTAGAGAAGCCCAGCTTGGGCACAGTGAGCCCCAAAGAGGGGGTGACACTATTAGGGAGCCCAGCATGGGTGCAGTGAGCCCCAGAGAGGGGGTGGCACTATTAAGAAGCCCAAGGTGGGCACAATGAGCCCGAGAGGGGCAATATGTGAGAAGCCCGATAGGGGCATGACGAGCCCGGTAATAGGCTAGCACTGCAGAAAACCCAAGAGAAGGGCAGGGTGCTGCAGTGGACCCCAGGAAAAGGGGTTAGCAGCACGGTGCACCCAAGAGAAGGGCAGGGTGCTGCGGTGGTCCCCCAGGAAAAGGGAATAGCAGTACAGCATCCAGAAAAGGGGAAGCAGCGCGGTGGGCCTGGAAGACCGGAGGCTCGATATAGAGTCCCAAAGCGGGCAAGGGTCCCTGAGCGGGACAACACTTGTAGAGGAGGCCGCAGAGAAGAGGGGCAGCGCTAGAAAAGGCCCCAGAGAAGTGGGCAGCATTTTAGGAAGCCCAAGGTTGGCACGGCGAGCCCCGAAGAGGGGAGCGCCTTATGAGAGAAGGCCCCAGAGAAGGGGGCAGTGTACGTATAGAGAGACACACCAACGTCTATCACACCTGCGAGGCTTGCGGCGTGGTATTAGGGGTTGGTAGGAGCCACGCGCAGCCCATAAGGCTAGGGTGCCTGGAACACCCAGTGTACCGGGAGGCCCCTGGTGGGGTCCGGGAGAACACGGGGACAGAAGTCCCAGCGAACCGTGCCGAGGAGACATTAAGGTAGCCTCCCAACATATTTACTGAACATCAAAGACGTGGTGGGCGAGAATAGAGAGTGCCCTTGGGCCGAATTGGCATGGAGAGAGGGCCTTAAGGAGATCATGGCCCTCCTGCAGGACCCCGCCGTGACACTCCCCCAGCTGCACATTGGACTGGCTCCTGCACAGGGGACCATGCCCAAGCCAAACCCCTGCAATCCTGCCTCTCTGCTGGACAGGTGATTGCCCTAGCCTATCTGCAGGTCACAGAGCTGGATCTCCCATCTCCTGGTCCTTCCTGACCCAGAGGCTCTGGGGAGATGCACTGGGGCAGTGCTGAGCTCTCCCCCTTCTGTGGCCCACCTGGGGCTGCTCCCTCTGCTGAGCCCTGTGTCCTGGGGAGCCCTTGGAGGGGCCTGTCAGAGCAAGATGGGGAACATCAGAGCAGGAAAAAGCCAAGCCTGGGGAGCAGCCTGGGCTGCAGGTGCAGCAGGATCCAAACAGCCTTGTCCAGATTGCAGGGTAAGGTCTTTAGTGCAGGGTCTGGTAGTGGCTCAGAGACCAGGGTGAATTCACGGTGAAATGATCAGGTCAGGACACTGGAGCAAGAGAGGGGCTGAGCTGGGATGAGTATGAGGACTTGTGTCCATCTGCTGCCTTTTCATCCACATGGAGGTAAAAACAAAGAATTACTTTTTACTAGTTTGTGTTTAACTCCATGTGTATGTAGCACCCCCCTGTGCATGCTAACCACTGCCAGTGGCAGTTTGTGGCAGCCTGGCACACCAGCTGGACTTGCCCCTTAGACTCATTTGGGCTAATGAGGAACCTCAGGATCCCAGTATGGGGATACCTTCTGTAACAGCACTCTGATAGAACAGGTAACTGTTTATAATATTTATTATTTACAATATAGATACATATTAATTTATGTTGAGATATTTATATACGTACGTGCATGTATTTCTATTCACGTACATACACTGCTATCTATTCTAAGGTTTAATTTATAACTCAATTAATTTATGGAATAGTACTAAAGAACTCAACACTTGTATATAACTGTGTAACAACATATGTGCACATATAGGCAGGTGACCGCACCCCTGGTAGAGTGACTTTAGGTCTATTCCCCATACAGGAAGGCAGACTTACATTTATCCAAAACCCAAAAGAAACAAAACGGGGACATGCCCTCTTAAAAGAAAATATACGGGCCCTGTAGGTCTGTTGTAGATACCCAGAATAAAGTCTTTCAGTTGTCTACTGTTGCCTTGAAGTCACCTTAGTTCAGGCAAGCGTAATCAGTGAGGTGTGGGTGCGATGGGAGCTCCCTCGGTAACCCTGGGCTGTACTGGTGATGGCTGGTGCCCTTGCTCGGCCTCCTGTACTACATAGACAACCTCCTCCCCACATCACCCCTTTATGCCCTTCAGACAGGGCTGGTGGGTCTGCTTTCCTGGTTGCTCACTCCTATGGCCCTCTCTGACACTCAGAATTAAGGCTTCTCTAGCAGGACCCCCTCCTGTTGCCCTCAGCTGCACCCTTGCTAGCTGAGGCTGGACTCCCCTCAGGGTCTTCCATGCGAGGGTCCAGTCCAAGGGGAGAGGGCTATATGCCCACTCACCAACTCCCAGCCCCAGGTGCTTCCCCTTTAATCAGACTCAGGGCTCTGCTCACCTCTGGGCTCTGCTCACTTCCCTCATTCATGTGACAGGTGGCTGGGCTCCTGCAGCCTCCCACACTCAGTACTCTGCCCCCCAGCAAGATCCCTGCAGCGGTTTGTCCCTCCCTCAGCTCACCCTGAGCACAGTGGCCAACCTCCCGCACCAGATCTCGGTGCCCAGCCCATCCTGGGGTGTTTTCAGGCTTCATGGCTCTTGCTCTGGGTGTCTCTCCCATCCCAGGCCTTTCCCAGGAGGATTAGTGTCATAAGACCTGCACCCAGGGAACTCTCCCCAGAGTTGGAGCCTGGCAGGCTGGGGTAGGAGGCAGGGCTCTAGGTGCCGAAGCCTGGGCTGGGCTCAGCTCCTGCCTTTGCTGCTGAGCAGGGAGTCAGTGCAGGGCAGGAGACTGGGATGGGCCTCAGAGAGCTGTGTACAACCTGCTTTTCCTTCCATATGGGTTTCTGCTGTCATTGTGTGCCTGGCACAGTAATAAGTGGCAGCATCTGTGGGTGTCAGGGAGCACAGCTGAAGGAACACATGATTCTTGGAAGTGTCTGCAGAGATGGTGGTCTGACTTTTCAGAGCAGTTGTGGAGCCTGTGTGCCTATTAAAGGGATAAACACACTCCAGCCCTTTCCCAGGATGCTGGTGGACCCAGTCCCAGCTGTAATACTGAGCAGTGATGGAGAACCCAGAGATGGCACAGGTCAGGGTGAGGGTCTCTCCAGGCTTCACCAACCCTGGGCCAGACTGGACCAAATGCAGTGCAGATGAAACACCTGGGAACAGGAAAACCAAGTTAGCTACAACTTCACTGCATCAGCTCTGCCCTTCCCCTGCTTCCAGAGACACTCTCCTAGGAGGGGATGGAGAAGACATAGGGAGAGCAGGAAGGATCCCATGGCTATTCCCATAGAATAAGGGAAACTCTCCAGCAGGGGCAACCTGGCAATTTGGGTTCTGGGCAGAGACTGAGTCTTGTGGCACCTGAGATGGGTATTTCACCAGAGCCCCATGGAGGGATTTGCATGTGGGCTTCTGGAGGGGTGGGAGTCTGGAGTTAAAGAGCTGTGAGTGCCCCATGCCTGGCAATATCCCTTTGGGACATGAGATTCCTTTCTGCCAGAGCCAGGCCCTATGCCCAGCTCCTCCCCACCCCACTGCCAGGAGCTGGGTACTGCAGGGAGGAAGAAGGGTCCAGGTGGATGGCATCTCCTGGGGAACCTGCTCACTTCTCTGCTGCTGGGGATCAGATCTGCTCTGACCCCTTGCCCGGGCCCTTTGGAGTCTCACTGTTGCAGCCAGTGTACCTGCTTGCTTGTAACAGGGGAGCCTTGGAGGCTGCTTGAAAGCCAGGAGTGAGGGATGGGGATGTTTCTATCAAGTCAGACCATCTCTGAGCACAGGTTGTGAGTGTCGCTGCCTCTTGTTATTAGTGCCTGTGGGGGAGGCTGTGTGACAGCCGGGGGGCTGGGCAGGAAGAAATTCTCTCTACCTTTCAGTTGGTCACTGCAGGGTGCTGTCACTGGTCCCCAGCTGGGCTCTGTCTGTGCTGGGGTGTCCGTGCTGTGCACAGGCAGGTGTTGGGAGGTGCAGTGGGTGTTGTGTGCTTTCAGTGGCTGGAGCTGCCAGCTACCTTCATGTGGCTGGTGCTGTGGCCATCAGTGCAGTGCCCTTGGGGTTTGTGTTCAGGGGTTGGTAAGGACCCTCTTGGGTGTGAGTCGTGGTGTCCAGACATTCACTGTTGGTGCACGGTGCCCTGGGGTTTGTGTTGGCAGGTTTTTGGGTGCTTACTCACTGGGATTATCCCCTCAAGTCCTTTCCGGGGGGTGGGGGTGGGTAACA